GCTGCCCAGTCTCTGCAGCCAGACCAGGCCCTTTTCCAACCTCCGGATTCTTCACCAACCCAGGAGGAGTACGTGAGCCCAAGTGTGGAGCCCCCTTGGGTGACGCTGAACCACGCGGGCCACAGCCAATGCCCTGTGGGTGTGAGTGACCTGGTGCTCAGTGTCCTGGGCTTCCTGGTGGACACTGCCACGGGCAATAAGGTAAAGACACCAGGGCCCCGCTTCTCCATGGTTGTTTCAGGGGAAATAAGAACTGAAAGGAGCTTAGGAACCCCATAAAGATCTCATTGTCCACATCACAATGAAGAATTCCAGGGACCAGCAGTTAGCATAATGGCTATGTTGCTAGACTCCCATGTAGTCGACCGTGGTTCAAGTCCTGGACCCGGTGGCTTAAATTCATGCTGGGCACGTGTGCGTGCATGCCCAAGATCCCGAGAGGAGAGTGGAGGAGAAGGGATTGTGGCATGGCCATCCTCCCTGGGGGGTGATTTCTTGCTTTCTGTCTCTCTGTCTCTCTGTCTTTCTGGCGAGCGCACGTGCCCTATAGCAAAAAACTCTCAAAAAAAAAAAAAAAAAAGAATTCCAGAATCATCTTTGCTTCAGGTGATTTGCCAGGGGCAGTTATGACACCTGTCCTGTCAGTCGCTGGCAGGCTCAGGCTTATAGTGTTATAGTGTGCTGGCATGATTAGCAGTGTAGGCTTTTTGGGTGCCCTCGGTCTTGCCTTTCCAAATTTGCCTGGCATGGTCGGACTGACTGAGCCACAGAGCACCACTCACCGCTGAAGTAATGCCATGCACTGAAAATGCCTCCAACACTCAAACATTAAATAGTCTGAATAGAAAGGATCTTGAAAAGTTGAATCGGGTACAACTGAAAAAAATAACAAATAGGGGTGTAGTGGTAGCACAGTGGTAAAACAGGACGCTCCGCAAGGCCAACTCATATGGGAGGTTCCAGCTTCATGAGTGTGTTGCACACACATGTGCCAGGGTCTTGGCTGACTGAAGCTAAGGGTAGGTGATGGATCAAGACTGTGTTTGGGAGAACCAGAAGGAGGTGCAGTGGTTAAGATGCTGGACTCCCACTTGGCCAAAACTGGTTCGAGTCCCAGACCTGGGGGCTTGCTCTTTTGCTTTCCTTCTGTCTCTCTCTCTCTCTCTCTGGTGAACACATGTGCTCTATAGAAAAATTTTAAATAATATTAATTAATAAAAATAAATAATCCTTAAAAGTAGAAAAAAAAAAAAAAAAAAAAGACCCTGTTGGGGATGCTGGCACTCTCTCACTCTCTCTCGCTCATGGAAGAAATAAACTTTTTTTAAAAAAAGGAAACATTTTTTAAAAGATATAAAAATAAGAATTGCTTTTCTGTAACACCCAGCCAATAGTTTTTAAATACATCAGCTTGAAGCAGTGCAATCCTGTTGAGTATCTGTTCTTAGCAGTGTCTTATGATGGATGGAGAAACCGAGACGCTGCGTGACTTGCACAGACTCACAGCACAAGTGAGTACGAGGAGATGACGGTTCAGAGAGTGCAGCCCCGGCCTTCCTGGTCTCAAGTTCATTCTTACTCCACAGCGCAACTCAGAAGGCGGTCCATGCCTGAGCGGATCGGGATACAGGTTGGAGAGGTCAAAGAGGCTTTGAAGGCCAAGAAGAGAAACTAGACTTGTGTAGAAAGCAACGGAAACTTTTCCATTGAGAGAGGGATGACTTATTTAAATAAATAAATAAATAAATAAATACAAATAGTGACCGCACAGGATTAGCAGATGG